AATTTCAATTTTCAATTTTATTTATTATACCATCACCCAAATAAAGGGTATTAGGCAAAAGTACATACAGTAAATAAGTATTTAACAATTAAGTATTTCATAACAAACATATTTACAATTGCTTCCCAGCCTCATTTAGAAACTTACATAATGCTAACAATACTTTACTATCAGATTGTAACAGCTAGGCATATTTAAAAGTACTAATGTTTTTACAAAAATATTGGGGTAAGTATTGTTTTCTAATGCTTTTAACAGACTTACATTCTAATATAAAATGAAATTCATCTCCTAATGAATTGTTATTACATAGTTCACAAAATCTTCTATTTCTTTCTACATTTCTATACCTACCCCTCTCAATAGGTAATTTTGTGTTGGACATTCTGTATTTTGATAAAATGACTCTATATTTTTGAGGCAGTGAAAATAAGTAGTCTTCGAACTTGAATTCTGTTTTAAAAACTCTATAATTAAAACCTATGTTACTATTACTTACATCATTTTCCCATGATTGCCTGAACTGGTCTTCTAGCCTTAATTTTACAATTTTAACAAATTTTGAAAAATGCGAACTACTAGGATTTAACCAAATGTTTGTCATACCAAGTTGACATAATTCAGCCAGTCAGACTTCACAAGATTTTTATCAAAATAACTTCTATATATTTTGTACATCTTTGCTGAGAGCGTTTTTTCATTGTTAGAGCTTAATCTATACCAATATTTTAATATACATAAATCAAATTTTACCCTTAATGGCATTCTCCCTAACTCACCATAAACCATAAAGGTTGGTGTTGATGCTTTGACTTTAAGGATATACTTTAAAAACTTTAAATGTAATTTTTCTATTATTGATAAAGCCCCATACCTCAGCCCCATATAACAAAATGGGGGCAACAAGCGTATCAAAAAGATGTAATTGTGTCTTAATTGGTAACGAATATCTATTACCCTGGCTAAGTATAGTAAACATAATTAGCAAATATCACAGTATCATCTGCGTATAACTTTAAAACTTTAAAAGTAGCAACTTTAAAAGTACATTTAGTTGTGCGTCATCCATAAGTGGAATAGGTTCACAACTATTGTCAAGTAAAAAGGCTTCTACATCATTTATAAACAAAGCATAGAGCAAAGGGGAGAGATTTTCTCCCTGACAAGATGAGCTAAAAAAATCAGACTTTTTAACATTATCATGAGATACACAACTCTTAATATTATTATACATATTCTGGATTACAGTTAAAAACCTTCCTTCGATTCCATAACATTAGTTTGTGCCATAGGCCAGCTCTCCACACAGAGTCAAACGCAACCGAATAATCTACGAATCCACAATAAAGTTTTTGCTTCTTAGTCAAAAGAATATCAATCAAGCATTTCAAAACAAAGATGTGATCAGTTGTGGAATGAAACTTCCGAAATCCACACTGATTAATATTTAACAATTCCATTGAATTTACGAAGTCAGTCAGTCTTACATTCAACACATGAGTGAATAATTTAGCACAACAGCTTAACAATGTTATACCTCTATAATTTTTGGGATCGTTCAGATTACCCTTTTTCTTGAAAATCGGTTTAATAATTCCTTTCAACCAGTCACTAGGCATAACTCCACAGGTTAACACTTTATTAAACAATTTCATCCATATGTCAATCAATAATGATTTACTGTACTTAATATACTCATTTAATATATTATCCATACCTGAAGACTTGCCATTCTTTAAGGATTTGATAGCTGAATAAATTTCATCAGCTGTGATGTCACAATAGACTAGATGCGAGTAGAAATAATCTTGATTTACGTCATCAAAAATTCAAAATTCAGTCAAACTGATGACATATTTGGAATCTACATGTTGAATTACATCTAGAAATGTGGTTTTGAAAAGAGTTTATCAACTTTGAAAATTTGATTTTCTTTGAAAATGTGATTTCTAGGTCGGGGGGATTCCCCATAGAGCCCATGTTGTAAAATCACAAAAAGTGAAATATCTTTTCTTGTGCTGGGCAGATAATATTTTCTTTTACTGGGCATATTTTAATTTGTATAACTATCAGATACAAAAGGGTATTATGAAAAGTGAACCACTAAAACTGATGAATATTCAAGTTTAAGGGAATTTTGTAATACCCTGCCATGTTATTTCCCCCGACTCAGCCACCTGGTGGCGAAACTGGTAACTACCTACTCGCATCTGAGTAATTAAGAAGTTTAATATTCAAGTCATAAGCAAAGCCTGTCTCTTACTGAGAAGGCATGTCTTCTGGTAACTCATGTGATGCATCAGATGAGTACAAGCTTTCAAAATGGTCCCTTAAGAGATCAAGGTTGACTTCATTGAATTCTTTTTTTGACTTTGGATTTAAAATTTTCCAATACCTTTTACTATCATTCTTTTTGAGATGCAATAATTTTTTGTTAAATTGCCTCTTGTACTCTTTCTGTGCTTTGATGCGTTGCTTTTTGTATTGTTTGTTTTTACGTACCATGTCTTGCTTATCTAGTTCACTTTTAGTCCTAAGATACCTATTTTTAGCATTATTATATGATCTCCTTTTTAGATGACATGTTTTATCAAACCATTTATTAACATTTTTACCATTTTTAAAAACGTCTTGTTTACATGTTTTTACTGATAACCCTGATTTATCAGCAGCAGACAAAATACATTCATTTAGCTTTACATTTAAATCTTCAACAGATGTTGATGGATCATCTAACAGTACATTTAGTTGCTTTATAACTTCAGTATCTAAATTTGTTTGAAAATCATCAGCCTTATCGTTAGACCATATATATTTAAAATGATTGTCATTTGCCACAAATGAGATATTCTGATCATCACAGAATAAAGTTTGATTCTTACATGCCATAGACAAGTTAATGAAGCAATGAACGTCAGAATAATCTTGGTTAAATTGTTCTCAACATTTTTCAGATCTGGTGTGCATATTAGACCTGTTGATAATATAATATAGTCTGTTACAGAACCCTTTCCTTTAAAACATGTAATATTTTCACTATTC